TCGACGAGGGGAATCCAAGCCCAAAGACGGGAATCGAATCAAATAAAAATGTCTTGCTTAATCCTTAAATTCTCTACTCCCGACCGATCTAAACGGTCTGTATGATTGCGATGTCTAACTTTTGACCAAGTGGTGCGATCGTTTCCAAATTTTAACAACCGGTAGATTTTAAAATAAAAATCAACTTTGATATCCAGTGTCTAAGCGCTAGGAGCGATATTTAAAAATGTAATGGCCAAACAAAAAGTTTGATCCGTCTTCAATCGTATTCGAAGAGCCTACGGCAGCGGTCCACGGACCACCTCTGTGCTCTCGATTTTCTACCGTTCACGTCAATTCTTCGGTTCCCTAGGAAATTGACCGTTTCGGACGGTCTCAAGTGTCAGGAAGACGGGGATTGGAACGTGCTGGCGAATCCAGCTTGGGGACATAGATAAGGGGCTGTCCGTAGCAGTCTAAAATGCAAGAGAATCTGAATTGAGTGGTGTTTTCGTTCTTCGACTTGATGTCAACCGTCCACGACGGCCTATATTCAAGCTTTTCATTACTGACGACGTCCGATAAAATTTGGCGAGTGCTGACTCGGTGACCGAGGGAATGTCCCCCGTGGAAAAACCGCACGGGACGGTCTTTTTCAGGAGAATTTCGGGCTTGAAGCTAAATTATGACCGTATCGGGTTCCCGTCTACGGGCTTGACGTTCTCTTTACTCACCGCATCCGATGATATACGATTCCCGTGTTTTGCAAAAAATCGGTTTTTTCTGTTTTTTCAATTTTAACTTTTTTTCAACATATTCCGATAGTACTCGACGAGTGGAATCCAAGCCCAAAGACGGTAATCGAATCAAATAAATATGTCTCGTTCAATCCTTAAATTATCTACTCCCGACCGATCCAAACGGTCTGTATGATTGCGATGTCTTACTTTAAGCGTATAAAGGGCCGCCTAATTAGCTTGTATAAATGTCGGGATCGTGCAAAACGTTTAACTTATTAACTCAGTTTTTTAAGCGTTTTATTATTGTCCAGCACCCCAAATTCTTCTATATACGTTTTTTAAATTTATTTTTTAAGCGATTTTTAAACGATTTTTTAAGCGTATAAAGTGCAACATTTATTAGTGCGTATTTGTGCCGGGCGCGTCAAACGATTACGCTCAGGCGTTTCGCTTTCTTATACGGTTTTTTAAGCGTTTTATTACTGTCCAGCACCCCAAATTCTTCTATATAGCGTTTTAAAATTTTTTTAAGCGTTTTTTTAGTCGTTTTTTAAGTCGGTTTTTTTATGCTTATAAAGGGCCGCGTTTATTAGCGCGTATAATGCCGGGCGCGCGTATAACGTTTACACTCGGGCGTTTCGCTTTTTTATTCGGTTTTTAAGCGTTTTATTATTGTTCAGCACCCCCAATTAAAACATAAAATGCATAGACTCCCCCTTGTAGAAGACCATCTCCCCGCAATACATAATACTAACTTAGATGTGTTAAACCATTTTTAGATGTCTGAAATGGAATCAGCCATTGAGTCAATTAAAAACGGTGTTTTGTCCGCTGGGCAAGCTGTCAGGAAGTATAACGTGGAGGAGACTACACTGAGAAGCCAACTTACAAAACGAGGCGTTCTCGCTACTGTTGTGAGCATTTAATTTTTTTTTTTCAATACATATTTTACTTACGGTGTTTCCAATTATATGTAGGCAACCAGAAATCATACAAAATCTTCTGAAAATCCAAAGCTAGTATTAGCTCTGGCTTTGGTCCAAAATGACGATATGTCTGTCAATAGAGCCTCTAGGGTAGCTGATGTTCCGAGATCAACCCTGAAAGCCGCTATAAAAAACTACGAGAAAATCAAATTTATGTAAAATTTTCTTCAAACGTGATTATCAATCAGTTGTATTTACATAATTTCAAATATTAGGAACACTGCCACCACCAGCGATTATGTCAATTTTAAAGGATATATCCGAGGTCGTACCGGGGTGCGTTTCTGAAGTCGGTCCGGGGCTTAAAATAATATTTAATAAATAATATATATTTTATCAAATTGTTGTGTTACACGGTGAAGCATGTAGAAATGCCCCGCTTGAAATGAAGAAATCTCCCTGTAAAAAAGGTGCTCAGAACGCACATTAGGGTTTTTAATATTATGTGTTACACGGTGGAGCATGTAGAAATGCCCCACTTGAAATGATGAAATCTCTCTGTAAAAAAGGTGCTCAGAAGGAACATTAGGGTTTTTGAGATTATGTGTTACACGGTGGAGCATGTAGAAATGCCTGCTTGAAATGAAGAAATCTCCCTGTAAAAAAGGTGCTCAGAAAGCACAAATATATACTACTACCCGGATTGAAAATTATTTAGACCGGTTGAAACGGTCTATGAATGACCGTCCGGCCCTGTCTTTATTCAAGTCAGACTTGAAAATTACGGACCGTCCCGAACGGTCTACAGGACGTGCGAAACGGTGGGAATTAGATAGTTGGTTCACCCTGAATACGGGGTTCGAATCGAATGATTTATTCCATGTCAATTATTTACTTCTCTTCGAATGACCGTTATGAACGGTCTGTAGAATTTTGATGTATGATTTAAAAAATATTCAATGTACCTGCGTAGCGTTTATCCGTGTCCAAGTCCGCAATTCCCTTGAAGAATGAAAAAAATATTTTATGTACCTGCGTAGCGGTTATCCGTGTCCAAGTCAGCAATTCTGTAGAATAATTAAATGCCTCGTTAAAGTCTCGTCGATGGAATTCCTCATATTGGAAAAATAAGTGGTATTGAATTGGCACAGAGAGTTCGAAACGGTCTATAGACTATTATATCTATAAACGAGTGACCGTGCTGGCCGTCCATCATAAAATATAATGGTCAATATTGATCAGAGAAGATTGAAAATTTCTCGCTTGGTTTTCAGTTCTATAGAACAGAACGTCCAGAGAATTCCCGACTTAAAAAATTATTATTAAAGAAGTTAGGTTGGAGTAGACTGAATCAAACGGTCTGACAGACCGGCCCAAACGTTCTACCTCAACGACGGTGAACCTCGATCTCGGGAAATTCGACGGGAAACCTACTGTCGGGGACGATGTAGTGGAGAAAATGAGGATGGAAGGATGCACGGCGAAATTAAAAACGTCCGGGTGGTCGGCGGACCGACGCCTTGGTACTCTTCTCTGACGATTGATCGTCTTCGAACTTTTTGCAACCTAGATATCTCGTTTAATATTCGTCCTAGCCGTTTCCAACCTCGGTCCGTTTACGTTTTATTTTTGTATATCAATCAGATTTGAAAGTTTCAAACCCGTCGGTCGAAAATACGATTTTTGATTTCGAAGTTGATTTCGATCAATATCCGAAAATTTTGCTACCCGACCAGCCGTCGCAGCGCTAGTGGCACGGCCCCCGTCTATAAATATGGGTGCGCCACTGCGATTTTTCATATAGAATCTATTTAAATAAAAAATATGATCTACAGCAACATGTCAAAACAAAAAAACATGTCGAAGCGTCGAATGCTTTTTAAACGTCTAGGGCAATTTCTTCGTTTGGAAAAGTAGATTTATTCAAAACTGCTGCTGCGGAGGATGCAATAAGTTTGTTTATTGCAGCTCATTGTTCAATTTTGCCATGTGACCATCTTGGTGAGTTATGCAAAAAATATTTTAAAGAGTCTGAAGCTGTATCGTACATGAAATTGCATAAATCCAAATGTACTGCAATCATTTCAAATATTCTTGGGCCTCATTTCGCAAAATGTTTGAAAGAAAGCATTGGTGACAGTTTTTACAGCATACTTATTGATGAATCGACAGATATAAGTGTTTTAAAGTTTTTAGGTATTACTATTATGTACTTCGATAAGAACTTTAAACAAATCATTTCGACATATCTATCATTAGTTAAGATGGAATCGTGTGATGCTCAAGCAATAGTGACAGCGGTAAAGGTAACTTAAATTAGTAAAGGGTTGGATCTTCAAAAATTGTGCGGAATAGGAACTGATAATGCGTCCGTAATGGTGGGTGTAAACAATGGTGTTTACAAAAAACTTAAAGAAGAGATTCCTGCTTTAATCCATATACCTTGTGTTTGCCACTGACTGCAGTTAGCTGTGTCTGCTGATGCATCAGAAACCCTTCCGAGAAATATTGACTATTTGGTAAGAGAAACGTATAATTGGTTTTGTCACTCAACTTTGCGTCAAGCACAGTATGTAAATTTATATAGGGCCATAAACGATGGTCATGATCCACTAAAAATAGTTAGGTCTTGTGAAACAAAATAGCTGTCTATAGAGTCTGCTGTTAGTCGCATTCTAAATCAATGGTTAGAACTTAAAACCTTATTTAGTGTAGATAGGACCAAAGAAAAGTGCTATGCTGCTGATGTACTCTTTGAAATGTATAACGACGATATGAATTTGGCATATTTAAAGTTTTTATATCCGATATTAGAAGAAGTGCAATTAGTGAATAAATCCTTTGAATCGAATACAGCTGACCCAAGTAAGTTGCTCAAAGATTTAACAAATCTCATTTATTCTGTTTCTGTTAATCCAAATTGTCGGGAAGATCTCTTAACTTGTAATATGAATAGTTATACAGTACAAAATGTTTACTTCGGGTATGAATTTGAGCAAATCTTAGCATCTTGTCCATCTTCTAAAGAAAAAAAAGACCATTTAAAAGAGAGATGTCTACAGTTTCTTCAAGTTCTTCTCCAACAGTTGTAACAGCGTCTTCCTAAAAATGTAAATATATTACAAACCGTTTCATTGATATCAGTTAAAAACACACTGCAGGTTATAAAGGATCCATTTAATCCTTCGGCACAATTTTTGAACGTCGAAAACAAAGTTATTGAAAAAATAAATATACAGTGGGCTAATATACTAAATGTCAAGTGGACAGAAACATCAAATACTATCAAGTTTTGGAATGAAGTAGCTTGTTACACAGCGGATCTTACCCATTTGCAGAAGTTTCAGATCTGGCAATGAGAATACTTGTTCTTCCAGGGTCTAATGCCGAAGTAGAGCGATTGTTCAGTCAAATGAATGTGGTAAAAAGCAAATTAAGAAACCAAATGAGGCCAAAACTTTTGGATGCTATTTTAAGTACAAGAGCAGGTTTAAAAAGAAACTCAGTTTGCTGCTCAGAATACAATTTACCGAAATCAGTCTTAAAACATATTGGTTCGACTGCAATATACTCTTCCCAAGCTGAATTATGTAAATTAGTTATTAATGATAATAACACTGAACATCCTGAATCTGAAAACGATACTGAAGATATAATTCTGTTTTAGTTTGTATTTATTTTTGTGATCGTATCATTTTATTAAATTTATAAATACTATATGATTATTATAAACAATTTGTATAGGTTAAGTTAGTTATTTGGAAGAAAATAAAATAATTTAAATAGTATGATTTTAACACAGATATATACTGTATTAGTATATATCTATTGATTTTAATAGTATATTAATTTTGTATAAAAGTATAAAATGTTGTTATCAAGCACAGATATCTATTATCTATTCTAACTCTGAACTACATATATATCTGTGTTATCAAGTAAATATTATCTAACCTATGTATAATATCTTTTTAAATATAGTATATTATGTTTATCTTTAAAATTTATCTTATTATTAATTAGAATTATAATAAAATCCAACATTTTACATACCTAGATAATAGAAAATACTTTATGGCTTTTTATAGCTTTTTTTTAAGACTTTATCTAGCCTTACCTGGCTTTTTATAGCTTTTTTGGAAGATTTTTTTATCTAGCCTTATCTGGCTTTTTTTATCACCTTTTTACTTTTTTTTGGTTGTACATTTTGGCAACACTACGCCGCTGCGGAGCGGCAGTGTTGTCAGGTATAGCGGAATTGCGCTACGCGTAGCGCTTTTTTATTATAATTTATCGTAGCGGCCCTTTCCCGTTAAAAATAAAAATGTAGCGCTACCTATTTCACTTCTTAACATCAACAATTTTTATTTTTATACTTAGATGCAGGGCATTGGGCTTGGGGATTTTTTTTTTAATTTTGTTATGAGAACAATTATAAATTTATCATAAAGTGTATGATGACTCTTATCCTATGCACCATAGATAATACATACTATCTATGTTTATAAATTATAACCATTAAATTGGTAAATCACGGTTTAAGATAATTTAAGGTTCTATGCATAATATGATAATTTACCAACATTTCCCGCATAAATTTAAATAATATTATAATTATTAGGTATTTTTTACAATAATTACAATGACAATCAATCATAGGTCCCAAATATTATAGATTGACTGTATACTATTAAAAGTGTTGGTGGTTTTTTGGTACTGAAAATTGATAGTTCCTAAAATAACATTGTACTGTGATATTTCCAATGGAAATCAATAGACAATTAGACAATATATTTAGCTGTATGTATATCTATCATCTGATCCATCTAATATGTCCAAAGTCAGCTATAGCTGTAGAATAACTTGTATGCTATTCTGGTTAATGGCTTATAAAATACTGCTGTAAAAATGTACAAAAACAATTACAATATTACAATATTTTATTTTATTACAATATTATTCTAATTAAATATGAAGCGTTTTTTAACCGGTGGACCAAAAGTAAGAATAATAATCTTTATTGCAATATATAACAATTAACGAGGTACTGTATGAATCTGGTCACTACAAACATTTAAGGCACAAACATATAATCCAATAATTGATGGTCAAGATGACATAACTGATGATGAAATCGATGAAGATAAGAATTTGACACCAAAAAGCAAAAAACAAAAACGCGGGGAACTGACAAAAACAGAAAAACAAAAAAATGTAAGAAAACAACTATTTAGTGATTCTTGGCTAAATGACGAAAGATTTGTTGGATGGTTACAACCTGTAGTTTATGAACCAGCTAAAGAAAAATGCATTTCTTGTAACACAACATTTGGAAGTAAAAAAGTGACATTATTCAGCATAGCAAATCAAATCACCATCTAAAATCTGTAAGTAGCATAAAAAATGTTTTGCCGTTGACAGTTACTCCTGACCCAACGCAATTGAAAATTAAAGTTCAAAAGGCTGAACTTAAACAAGTCTTGTATATTTTATATAATAATATAAGTTTCAATAGTATAAATCATTTATCTGAGTTACAATCAATTATTTCTGATGATTCTAAAATATCAAAAAAAGTTTCTTTAAAACGTACAAAATGCACCCAAATTATGAAAAATGTTTTTTTCTAAAACTGTCGAAGAAAATATTGTTAATGATTTAAAACAAAAAAAATTTTCAATCTGTTGAGAGTGAAGCTTGACTGAACTATGATGTTAGCATTAATATAAATAAGTAATAACAACCATATGATGATGTATAAGTATAATATATATAACGTACAACTGGAACAATTAAACTGTGGACTCATACACACACACCGCGTACACTCGGTATGACAGCGTCTGTGCAAGTGAATATTACATACATCAAAGGCCCTATATATATGCACGACCGAGGTCATGTCAGTCCGTGAGAGAGTGAGTCTTTGCTCGTACATAACTAGTTACTTACTTTGTACACACGTGTCAGGCTGACTACATGTACTACATATTAATTGTATATTTCAACACAATCTATATTGATGAAAGCACGGACATTAGTAATACTAAATTGTTAGCAGTATTAGTAAAATATTTTTCAGATGATAAGCTACACATACAAATGTTAGGCCTCATTCCTGTAACTGCTGATGACTGGCAAAGCAATAGGTGTATCACTTTATTTAAAATAGTTTAAAAAAACTTAATTTAAGTAAAAAAAAATATTATTAATTACTGTGCTGACAATGCTTCAGTTATGATGGGTTGCAATAAATCTTTCAAAACATATTTAATGAAAGAAAATCCGCACGTAGTAGTAAATGGATGCATTTTTCATACTGCTCATTTGATAGCTTCATCAGCTGCCTTTTGTATACCAAATAGAGTAGAAATATTGTTACAAAACATATCTACTTATTTTTTACGTAGTCCAAAACGACAATCAATTTTAAGAGAATTTCAGAAATTCATGAATGAATCCCAGGTTAAAATACTTCAACCTAGCCAGACCAGATGGCTGTCTCTTCATAAATGTGTTGATAGAATCCTGGAACAATGGGATGTCTTAAAACAATTATTTACACTGGCTCAGGTTAAAGAAAAGAACCCAGTGGCTAAATTAATTTACCATGAGATCCAAAATCCTTATAATAAGGCATATTTATGTTTTTTGCAGTATATATTACCTCTCATTAATGCATTCAATGCATTCTTCCAATCAGACAAAGTTTTGATTTTTAAAATTTTTAACGATTCATTTGATAAACTTGATTTTAAAAATCCTTCTCATTTACTCTCAAATGACGAAATATGTATTGGAGAAGATACTTGAAGTATATTAAACACCTGTAAAAATAATTCAAATTACATAGAGTTTATGAATATTATTATTTTTTTTATTATTGTTTGTAGTGACCAGATTCATACAGTACCTCGTTAATTGTTATATATTGCAATAAAGATTATTATTCTTACTTTTGGTCCACCGGTTAAAAAACGCTTCATATTTAATTAGAATAATATTGTAATAAAATAAAATATTGTAATATTGTAATTGTTTTTGTACATTTTTACAGCAGTATTTTATAAACCATCAACCAGAATAGCATACAAGTTATTCTACAGCTATAGCTGACATTGGACATATTAGATGGATCAGATGATAGATATACATACAGCTAAATATATTGTCTAATTGTCTATTGATTTCCATTGGAAATATCACAGTACAATGTTATTTTAGGAACTATCAATTTTCAGTACCTACCAAAAAACCACCAACACTTTTAATAGTATACCCCAGACAGCAATTTAGTAATATTGATATTATAAAAACATTATAAATTATATTGCGTTAAAATATTTTAGTACAAATGTTATTATGTTGTTTTGTTAACGTTTTTTTTATACCATTATTTGAAAAACATTTTTCAAATGTTACCATAATATTCCTTTTTAATTGTTATAGTTTAAAAGTTACCATAACACTTCACATTTATTTTAAAGAAATGTGGTTTTCAAAATATTTTGTTTAAAATGTTGTATAGAAACCATTATTATAATATTTAATAGAAGAGCTGAAGATAATATTATAGTAAATATATTTTTATAATGTTAAGCAGATAACGTTATAGGTACTACGCTGCTTGAAACTTTTTTAAATCACCACGGAACCCCTTTTTTGGACATTATGTTGGGGACAGGCGATTTTTTCGAAGCTTAGAATATGGTTTATGGCATAAATACTATAATACTGCAATAGTTCGTTAGTTCCTATCGCGTACATTCGTGAACGGTGAATCTATACGTAAATATACGCTCGCTTGATTCTATTGTCTGTACTCAGCGTACGACAGTACTAGTGTCGGATGAAGTTCTCAATTTTTTTTGTGTAGAGGGGGTGCTTTTTGGTTACATTGGTCAACAGCTGATATTACAATGATATTAATGAACTTAAAAACTTCTCGTAATTAATTCAATAACCATCATAAATTTGTTACATATAATAAACAAACATAGTAAATTCTTTGGGAATATGCATAATTATATAATATATTATATTTAATATTAAACTATATCTGAAATCTGTGTACATATGTAGACACTGCAAAAATGAATAAACAATACAAAAAAAACTAAAACATATTATACTATATGCCACTGTATATTATATAGCTACCTATAGTGTTTACCTACCTATAGGGATATATTGTTACATTTTTTGTTTGACCTACAACCTCTTAATATATATTGACTAATGACTAGGTACTTAATATAATACTTATTATAAATTGAAGTTATTATTCTTATTAAATATCATATATTCAGATAAAGTCAGTCTTGTACTATAATTCCCCACTAAATCCAGTACTCACCCATCCCACCAACCCCTTTAGAATTATCTGGAAACTGCCCTTCAAAATCACGGCAACATATACTATGTCACTGCTTATTATAATGGAACCATAAATGAAAGAAATAAACAAATTATGTAATAAATATTATACAACATACAAAGGAATTCCAGTTTATCATTATTATGAATTTTTAAATTTAAATTATTATATTAATATTGTTATATATGTTAAATTATTATTGTTCATTAATGCATTCAGACAATATTTTACAATATACTCGGTTATATATTATAGTTTTTTTGCTCGTCTAATCATCGCGGACCGCGGTC